GGGAAAGAACATTGTTAATGTGTTTTATGGTTGTCTAATATCAACAAATGCTGTACTTCCATTGATTCTAATAGTTGATTTGCAGATTTTCTAGGATTTTAAATACAGTTCTTTGTGTAAAATATGATACAGTTTTCTTCTTTTCTGATCAGCACACAACTTTGTTTCTAGTCTTACATACATTAAACTTGCTATACTCCTGACTCTAAAATTGTGTTTCTAAACTCTTAAATGTGATATTTGCTGCAGATATTTGATTCTTAATTTAGTAAGAGGGCTAAACAATAAATTTTCTAATTTTTTTTGGTAACTATTGCAATGTCCTTAGATGCTGCAATTTATGTCGCCAAGGTGGTATAAATTAGGTTGATAGATTTTTTCTAATTTAAAACTTTTCCTAGATTTCTAAGCAAGGTCCTTGACAGGTAAGTGTTAATTATTTTATATCACCCAGAATAACCCTCTGTAGCCGGCTACACAGAAGAGGTGCTGACCTACTCTGAATCCCCATGGAAACCACTCAGAAAATCAATCCTTGTCAATTGCAAGGTGTGGACACCTTCCTCTCAGTCACTTCAGGGGACTGCTGGCAAGACTCTTGCCATGAATGTTTATGGGCCTCCCCCGGCTTGCCCAATCATTTAACTGCAGCAGCAAGGCTTGGGGACCAGTCCTCACCCATGCACACCCAGCCACATGTGTTAAACTGTCATGCCTTGGTGCTGATGCACCACGGACCCTGTTGCATTCTTATAGCTCAGGGGTAGGGACTCTTCTCCAAGAGCTCTGGAGAGGAGCTCTCTGTGTTCTGCTCTGCCGCAGCTCTGAGCAGGCATGTAGAACAGGATGGTTTTGTAGGAGCCTCACACGGCTCCTCCTTCAGATATTCCCAGAAAGGTCTGCTCCAGCAGGCCTGTGCATGGTGCCCACCCATTTGCACTTATTTGCTTAACATCCCTAGTTATGATGATTAACTGTTTTTGTGTGTAGCTTGGTTTGATGTGGTTGTATTATATGAAGCATTTTTATATTTATGTTCATGATGAAATCTTGTACTGTTCTTTGGGTTTTGTACTGATTAGTTGTTAACTTGTTACAAGATTCTTAAAATGTCAGGTGGCTTTATTGCCTTCTCTTTGTAAGTTCTGTAATATTTTTCATAGTTACTTTCTAACATACATTGCTTTTTTCATTTTGTTTTTAATTGACAAATGATACATTTATGTATTTGTCCAGAAAAAATGTGATATTTATTTACGTGTATACATTATGGAATAATAAACTCTCTTAATTCCTCATTGGGAAGTATCTTAGTAACAACTTCTCTATACATTATTTTATGAAGAAGTTTATATAAATAGTGGCAACAGACACAGACATTAAAGTGAAATATAAATGTAACTAATTCCTGGTAAAGCAAAACAGCATTTATTTTTTTTTAAAAGATTTATTTACTTTTATTGGAAAGGCAGATTTATAGAGAGGAGAGACAAATCTTCCGTCCTCTGGTTCACTTCCCAAGTGGCCACAACACCTGTAGCTGAGCCAATTTGAAACCAGGTGCTTCTTCCAGATCTCCCATGCAGGCACAGGATCCCAAGGCATTGAGGAATCCTCTACTGCATTCCCAGGCCACAGGGAGGGAGTTGGGTGGGAAATGGAGCAGCCAGGACATGAACCAGTGCCCATATGGGTTCTGGGTATGCAAGGCAAGTGTTTAGCAACTGATCCATCACACCTGGCCCAGAATAACATTTCAAATAGTGACTAGCAAACAAAAAATACTAAGTAGAAGGTGTGCTAATAAATTAATTAGCTAGATGATGAACAAAATTATCAATTGATCCAAACTGTGGAGTAAGAATGACTTAAGAGTCTTGTCTTGCAAACCAATCAGATTTTGGATTAGAAAATCGCAAATAAGCCAACATGGATTATCTGCATGTTAAAGCAGGCTATTTGGAATTTGCGCATAAACCAGAAGGAAATTAGATTACTTGGTGTCCACTGTTCATCTTCTGGTTTTGGACTTCCCAGTTTAAACGTTCTGTAAAAGCCTGTGTTCATAAGAGGATTCCTATGAGAGGATGGCAGTGTATGCTTTATACCAAACCCAGTGTTGATCAGGTGGCCACTGTCTTAGTCTCAGTGCATTGTTGGGGAGTTATGTCTATTTATCAAAATTCATTGAACATGGAGGATCAATAATCATAAGTGAAAAGAAAGTTTGTGTACTAACAGAACTAACAAGACCTGTGACAAACTGGTGTCAGACTCAAACTATGTTATGTCATCTCAACTCTACTTGGGAGTCAAACATGTGAAGAAATGGGACAGGGACATTTTTTTTTTTAGGCACAAGACACTTTAAGAAATATTTATTTGAAACTCAGATTTATAGAGAGGGAGAAAGAGTAAGAGTAACTGAAAGAGAGAGAGAAAAATCTTCCATCCATTAGTTGACTCCCGGAATGGTCGCAATGGCCACAGCTTTGGCAGGACAAAGCTAGGAGCTGGAATGCTATGTTTCCCACATGGGTGCAGGGGCTGAGTCACTCAATCCGTCTTCTGTCACTTTCCCACGCAATGGCAGGGAGATGGATTGGAGCAACTAGAGCATGAACCAATACCGATCCGAAGCCAGGAGCCAGGAGTTTCTTCTGGGTTTCCCACATGGGTGTTGGATCCTAAGGCTTTGGGCCATCCTCGACTGCTTTTCCAGGCCACAAGCAGGGAGCTGGATGGGAAGAGGGGCCACCAGGATTACAACCAACACCCATATGGGATCCTAGTGCGTTCAAGATGAGGACTTTAGCCACTAGGCCAAACACTGGGCCCTACTATTTAGCTTTTTAAACTGTACAATACTCAAGAGGAAGTATCAAATGTTATTGAGTATTTGGGTGAGATAAGAACAGAAAGCTTACTTTAAATTTAACATGAGAGAGTTTTCTTTGTGTTTGTCTGGGTGGAATTGTTGAACCCAAATTCTGATTTTCATGGATTGAAGTGGAAGCAGGGCATGGAAAAATGGAGGCTGTAGGCATGCATAATCTTTTCCTTTTGTCTTTCCTCCACTTGCTTCCTTTCCTTCCTCTCCCCCTTCTTTCTCTAAAGCATGAAATTCATTATAGTGTAGTTATTTGGGGGAAGTGACTGAGTGAAGTTGGAAAAATTAATGATGCAGAATTAGAGAGGATATCCAACTGGAGAAAAATTGCTTTAGTGATCCAGAGGGTCTGGAATCCATTGCAAGAAGGCATTGATTGTCCTTAGATATATGAAGAAACAGTTAATCCCTTGTAATAGGAGGGTTGCAGAAAGATTGGTAGATTTGGTGGTGGGAAGATGTATAAGATTGTGTTAGACATTTAATAACAGAAAGACCAAATTAATAGTGATTTACTGAGAATGAAGAATACTTCCCCTTTAAGTAAATGTTCAAGTAGGCAGCATAGGGCTGATGCAGTGGTTCCAGCATAAATTATCCAGGCTCCATCTATCTTGTTGCTGTGCCAACATCAACAGGCAGCTTCCACTTGCTGATCTAAAGGTGACTGCTGTCTCCTGCTATTGTGTGTGAATGCCAGCCAAAGGGAAAAGGGGAAGCAGGAGGGGAAAACATGTGCCCTCTCTTTCTAAAGGGCAAAACCTACCAATTGTTCCTGTTACTTATGTTGGCCAGAATTTAATCACATCATCACTCTTAGCTGCAGGGAAGATTTGCAAATTTGGTGTTTGGCTGGGTGACCATGGGCCCAACTAAAAATATTTGTGCTTTTTGAGAAGTAGAGAATTAATAATGGGTAATGACCAGTTGCCTCTGCTATGAGGGATAAGATAGTAGTTTTCTTTAGACTTTTAAAATTCCCTTCTTTATTTTGGAGGCAGAGAGAAACACGGGGTGCTCCTACTCACTGGTTTCCTTCCAAAATTCTTGCAACAGCTGAGGGTAAGCCAGGCTGAAGCCAGGAACTCTATTCAAGGTTCTTGTGTGGATGACAGAGATCAAACTATTTGGAACATCACCTCTGCCTTCCAGGTGTACACTTGGATATGAGATGTAAACATCCCAAATGGTGACTTAACCACTGGGTCACACATCCACTCCACAACAGTTCTTTTCTGATTACTTCTAATTTTATCAATGAAGAGGTGAGTTAATCAGTGAAATGAAAGAATGGATGAGATTTTGGAAGTTTGATGCACAAGAGGCAGTAAGCTATTCATCTTGAGCAGTGAGGTAGAAGGGGGCTATAATGAGAATAACAAGCAATGTGGAGGGCTTACTTAAAATTTTTTGAACAATGAAGATAGAATAGGATTATCCAGACTTTATGCAGCAAAAAATAATCAGTTTGAAGAAACCAGGGCATAACTTAGGTTAGGACACACATTCCACTGGACCAGAGATGTTTTAGCTAAGAAAAAGTTGCCGTTGGCTTATGGCATGGCATGGTTATTTGTTCATTTCCTAATCCATAAGGAGTACCTTCTGAAATGGGTCAGTGACAATGTCCATCTCCATAGACTTTTGGCTTTGCTCTGTCAGGCTCCATGGTAGGGCTGAAGCAGGTGCCCAAGACGCAGCTATCATGTGCTCACAGATGGTTACTCGCCTGTTAAGATTTTCTGTTATTTCTCAGGATAGATAGCCAACGTGGAACCTTGGGAAGCTTCTTCATTTTTCCTGTCACAAAGAATTGGTGATTCAGTAGTCACAGGAGTTTGTAATAAATAACCCACATTGATTTCTCTGTTCCAGAATGATTTTGCTTCTCCTGCTCCCAGAGTCCTGACACTTGCCCCAAGAGGCAGTGCTAGAAAATCATTTACAAAGTGGCACACACTCCCCTTCTGTTGTGTGTATAAATTCAGACCGGGTCCGGTGACTTTGAAGCAAGGGGTCCAGCACTTCTAGAAACTCAATCTTCAGCCAGAAGTGTTTTCTCCAAGGAGGTGGATTCAGAGCCTGGGAGCGTTGGCAGCAGGGAGTAACCATGGAGAAGCTGTTATGGTGCTTCCTCACCTTGGCCCTCTTCTCTCATGCATCTGGCAGGACAGGTAGGAGCTACTCTTGGGGTGCCAGAGAACTGAACTGAGGGATGGCAATAGAGCTGAGATTATATAAACTGAAGTCAGAGGAACATCCAGCCTAGAGAGAGCATGCCTGTGTGTGTGCACGAGTGTGCTTATTTGTGTGTAACTGGGTTAGTCTGTTTTTCAAGCTTCAAATCTGTGTGTGAATGAGGGGGTAGATCTTAATGAACTGGGACATCACTACTTGGTTTTTTGTTTTATAGACATGCGCAAGAAGACCTTTGCATTTCCTACACAGTCAGATAATCCCTACATATCTGACACCACTTTCAAAGAAGCCACTCAGAGCCTTTACTGTGTGTCTCTACATCTACACTGAACTGTCCAGGATTCATTCATAGAACCTTTTCTCCTATGCTATCAAGAAACAAAATAATGACATCCTTCTATTTTGGACCAAGGACATAGGATGTGTTTTTTTTTTTTAGTGGGTGGGTCTGAAATAAGATTTGTGGTTTCTGAGGTGACTTAGGCTCCAAATACAACTCACTTACATGTGAGCTGGGAATCCTCCTTAGGCACTGCAGAGCTCTGGGTGAATGGGACTTCCAGGATGAGGAAGAGTCTGAAGAAGGGCTTCTCTTTGGGGACAGAGGCAAGCATTGTCTGGGGCAGGTGCAAGATCCGTTTGGTGGAGGCTTTGGGGAAAGTCAGTCTTTAGTGGGAGACATTGGAGATGTGGACATGTGGGATTTTGTGCTTTCTCCAGGTGATATTAATACCATTTACAGTGGTGGGACATTCAGTTCCAGTGTCCTGAATGGCGGGCACTTAGGTATCGAGCATGTGGTGATGTGAACGCCAGGTCTCAGCTGTGGACCTGAGTCCTTGCCATGGATGAGGCTCCTGGGCTCCACGTTTCTTGCAATGAACCCTTCATCCTGACACATACTGTAACTTTGCTCCATGAACATGGTCTCCCAGCTTTGCCTCCTTCAGCATGAGAGAATACAACCTAAATGACTGGCTGGGGAGCTTATGAACTAAATTGTGAAGTTTTATCCAGAAGAATCATAATTGCAGATGTTTTGGCTTCTATTTTTATGTTGTAAATTGAAAAGATCTTTCAGATGATCCCTTACTTTTACTTAGATGAGAGAATTGATATCTAGAAAGGTGAAATGAGTTTTCAAAAAGTGACAAGGAAAGTGTATCTCTGAGCTGGGCAGGGGAGGCTGCTTTTCTGTTGAATTCCCTACTTGGGAACCCCCGAGAGTAGCAGGGACTAGCTGCCCACTTTGATGGGGCTTTTCAGTCTCAGAGTTAGGATATCAGCCAGATCTTTTGCACTCAGAATGGTGCTCATTCTAACATAGAAGCACTGGGCCTGGGTCTTCTGAAATGGAAGATGCAGCAATACTGTGCTATTCCTTCACTTTTGCAAGGCATCCTATAAAAGCAATCAAAAGTGCCTTAGAGAGAAGATTTTATTCTTCCTTTGAGCAAAAAGAGACATCTTAGTATAGTAACTTTAATTATAAACCTTATATGAAGTCTAACTTCTTATACAAAGACTATACAAAAGTTTCTATTTGCTTATAATGCTTTTTAAACTTTTTTTTGGGAAACCTTTCTCCAACTCCAAGTGTAGTATTGTGACTTGTCCCTTTACCACTGCATTCCTAACATATAAAGGGTTCAAAAATCAGTGTGAGATCCAGACATCACCCATGGATGGCTCCATGTTCCTAGCAGGAGCAATTATAGTCTTCCTAAGGTTTGGGTGTGGACTTTGGGGATGACACATCATCTTGCTGCTGAAGTTGTGACCTGAGAATTCATGAACTTGGAGTACTCATAGCTATCTTGTTGACCACATGGAGAGAGACGGTGAAGAGGAGAACTAAGCCAGAAGTGCTCAGGGCTTGGCACAGTGATGGTATTCAGAACCACAGTGAGATTCTGAGTCTATCTCTCATGAAACCAAACTGACACCTAGTCTTCCTGGGACCATGAATTAATAAATCCATGCAGGGCCAGTGTGGTGGCTCATCAGGTTAATTGTCCACCATGTGGTGCTGGCCAGCACATGTCCCAGCTGTTCCACTTCCTAACCAGCTCTCTGTTTATGGATTGGAAAAGCAGCAGAGGATGGGCCAAGTCCTTTGGACCCAGAACCCACATGGGAAACCTGGAAAAACTCCTGGCTCCTGATCCCCTCAGCTCTGGCAGTTGTGACCATTGGGGGTTGGGGGTGGGAACCAGCATATAGGAAATCTTTCTCTGTCTCTTGTCGCTATAAAATCTTATAGTTAAAATAAATATACAAAAGCGTCTTGTTTGCCTGGGTGAACTGGGGCTGTTTTCTGATGACTGCATTAGAGGTGTGACTAAACTCGTCACAGACGCCCTGAAACCAAGAGCTTGTGAGGTCAGACCGACTGCTGCTGTCCTACAAGGGCATGTTTATGTCGCTCGTCTCACCTACTGTGATTCTCATTGACAAGCACACTTTTTGAGTAGTTAGTCATTCAGTTGTGGGGGTCTTAATTTTTTTTACTCTCTTACTCTTCCAGTTTGAGGAATAAAAAGTAAAGCTCATTGAGAACCTTGAACCTACTGTCATGTCCATGACTAGACACTCACCCAGTTGTCTTGGGTCCTTTGTGAAAAGACTCCTCAAGGATGAGGGCTTTGGCTTCCTCCAGGCGTGCCTGTCTCCAAAGACTTTTTTTTTCTTTGTATATAGACTTTTTTTTTTTAAAAAAGATTTCTTTATTTTTATTGCAATGTCAGATATACAGAGGAGGAGAGACAGAGAGGAAGATCTTCCATCCAATAATTCACTCCTCAAGTGACTGCAACAGCTGGTGCTGTGCTGATCCGAAGCCAGGAGCCAGGAACCTCCTCCAGGACTCCTACATGGATGCAGGAACCCAAGGCTTTGGGCCATCCTTGACCACTTTCCCCAGGCCACAGCAAGGAGCTGAATGGGAACTGGAGCTGCCAGGATTAGAACCAGCACCATATGGGATCCTGGCATGTGCAAGGAGAGGACTTTAGCCGCTAGGCCACAGCACTGGGCCCCTCCATAGATTTTTGATACAAGATGAACAATTAAAATTACTCCTTAGAGACCACAGCCAGAAGTGAATATGGAACCCCAGTCTCTTAAATCAATCCTTTAAGGAAGACACGAGATGGACCAGCTAAGCCTAGAAATTCTGAGAGATTAAACTGCCTATGTCCAAACTCTGGCTCTGCAGTTGATTAGCTACATAACTCTAGGTTACATGATTTATTTATGTCTCAGCTTTCTTGCATGTAAAATGGGAGGCATAATATGAAGTGATGCAATGTTGTGGTGATAGTCAAGTGAGTTCATGCCACCAAGGCATTTAGTACAGTATCCGACCCATTGTAAGTTATTTAACACAGTGACTGTAACAATTTTTTAAATTATTTTTTAAATTAGCCTGTCTTGTATTAGATTCCTAAACATAGATTTATTATGTACCATGCAAGTTTGATCCAGTAGGATGTGCCTGGATTGGCAGAAACTGAGGAGTCTGATTTGTTAAAAATTAAGAGCAAGACATGAGAAGGGAGAACAGCAAATCTTTGAAGCAGTTATTTATGAATACTGATTTCCAAATTTGATGTTTTAAAGATTTTTAAAGAATTTTTTATTGGAAGTTAGATATACACAGAAGAGGAGAGACAGTGAGGAAGATCTTCTGTCCTTTGATTTAATCTCCAAGTGGCCACAATGGCCAGAGCTGTGTCAATCTGAAGCCAGGAGCCCAGAGCCTCTTCCATGTGGCTGCAGGGTCCCAAGGCTTTGGGCCGTCCTCGACTGCTTTCCCAGTCCACAAGCAGGGAGCTGGATGGGAAGAGGGGCTCTTGGGATTAGAACCAGCACCCTGGTGGGATCCTGGCATGTGCAAGGAGAGGACTTTAGCTACTAGGCTGCCATGGTAGGCCCCATAATTGACTTTTGATAGCCATTTGGAAGCAGGAAAGCTAAGGATAGATTTTGAAGCAAAAATAGGTGTGCAGATATTCTCTGTTGCCTAATTAGGGCAGGTCTATATATTCTGACATTCAGCTAAGCAGAAGAGAGGGTGACATTTTTTTCTAGTTAAAGAGTCTAGTCAGGAGATATGTCTTAATTATAGAAGGCCATTCCAACTCCCCAAGGATGTGGACTGAGATAATATTTTCTTCAGAATTCAATTACTGTTACCTTACTACATGTTGTCTAGTAGACAGCCGCCAGCCCTAATAATTGTAGCCAGGCAACTTTTAACAGCTGATATTTGCATTCAGTGAACATTTTAAAAACTTAATAAAGCATCCCTAGAATGTTTAAGTTTAAGCAATTTGGCACACTGGTGGATACTTCAATGTAATCTTGTTGGAAATGAATCCCTAGTTCATGAGTGAATAGTCATATCATAGGCCATTGTTAAATGCAATTCAATTAGATATTAGATGGCATTTTGCATGCTGGTCCCAAGAAATTATTATTATTTTTTTCTTTTTTCCAAAATGCAGCACATAGAGAATGAGACCAAGCCTCCACTGGGGCTACTTCTTGCTGGTGCTAATAAATCCACGTCATCAGCAATGATTTTCCGTTACAGTGAGAATCATGTGTCTGGCTTGATAATGAGGAGAATTAGACATTAGAAAATAAGTCAAGAAGACAGAGAGCCAAAGGGTGTATGAAAGAAAGGTCATGGAAAATATATATTATGAAAAATTATGCATGTGTTTCAATTTTTGAATCAAAATAAACATTTTTAAATTATATTTGCTGAACTTTTTGAAATACTCTTCTATAAAACCTACAACAAACACTAGGTGAAGCAAGAAAAGTAGCCCAGTGCCTAAATATAAATGTAATGCATTTCCAGGTCAAATAAGGGGAGGTATAGGAGCTTGGATCAGAGATGCTGGAACCCAGCACCTGACAGGAAACTCCCCTTTGGGGGCTGAGAATAACTATATTGGTAGAAGGGTCAGATTTCATTCAGATGTGATCATCTTAACATGAGATATACAGTGGTGATGTCAGAGCAGGCACCTGAAAACTTCCTGTGTTATCCAGCAGAAATACTGGATCTTTATCAAGCAACAAGCCTTACCCAAACAGAGGTGGTCATCAAGAAGATACAGTTAAAATTGACCTGTGAATAGGACCAGATGAGTGGATGAGAATTCATCTCTAGGCTGGAACCTGGTCTATCCAGGGCCTGGAGGAGAGACTAAATGGATTTTCAAAGTGGTATTGGAATCTGGTGTAAATGGATCTGTGGCACAAGCAATGACAAATCTGTGATTGTTCCCAATTCCCACAATGTGTTGTACTATCCTCAAGTTTGGCACACCGCAGAAAAGCAAAGATTGACAAAAAAGAGTAGCTTCAGATCATTAAACAATAGCAAAACAACAACAGCACTTGAGTGCAAGATTTCTGATCCCTAGAATTCCACAGAGTGCAGAGATATGCTCTTCAAATTTCTAAGTAAATTTATCCTAAGAAACCCACGCTCCAGTCTTGTGTTGGTGTAACCTGCCTGGATTCTCTGCCCTCAGCTCTTGTGGTTCTGTCTCACTTAGGAATCTTAATTTCTCTTATGCCAGAAAAGTGGATGAAGTGTGCCTGTTAGCATTCTCCTTCAGAAACTGCAGACTCCTAGCTCACATCTCCTGGATTGCTGGCTGCAATGACACATTGTGGGCTGCTAATTAAAACATCATCATCATTTAGAGTCCTGATTATGAGGGCAGGTGCATTAATCCCAAGTCTGGGTCATGGTCTCTGGAGCCCAAGAATAAGCGACGTCATGTCTATTGCCTTATGTGCTTTCAGAACCAT